ACATTATCCTGTATGAAATTTTCTGATTAAAGTCGGATTATTTTCCAATAAATCGAAATTATTAATCGATTGATAATCGTGATTTTGTATAGAATAATTCCATTTTAATCAGAAGATTTCATACAGGATAACGTACAATATCAAAAATTAGTTAAGTCAGGATCAACAATAATCAAAATTATCAATCGATTTTAATTTTAATTTTGTTGCAGAAAAATCCGATTGAAAATCGTCATAATTTTTCACTGGGAAGAATACGGAAGTACCATGCACAAACGGTGAATTAGAATACGAAATTAAGTTCGAATTGAAGTCATCGTTTTTGCTTCGGTTCTGAAAGAGCCGTTGTCGTCGTTCAAACTACACTAAATATTCATCTGAGAAATGTTTTTTTTTGTATCTGTAAGACATTCCTCGATTACTCTACAGCTTTCTTCTGTTCAAGTCAATAAGAACAAAATAAGTATTGATTTACATCGTAATATCTTTCTAGATCAGCTTGATATTAACAAACAGCGTGTTCTTTAGATCTTCGAATATGGGTTCGAAGCTGAGTTCAAAAGCCAGAGTTGATCCGTTGTCATCGTCTGAAAAACAAGGTAAAGGACAGCGAAAAACACTTTCACATTGAAATACAGCTTTACGAATTTCAGGTGCACAAGATATAAACTCGGGTAAGTCGGAAGTCTTGGCCGATAAAAAGACCTCCCGTTTGTGAAAGTAAATATTTATGTATTTTGAATACGATCTATCGATAACAAAAAAATATCGTCATAACATCATCTTTCGGCCGTTTGCTGATTAAAACGAATTCGACCAAGTTAGAGCTGCATATGTAGTCCTAATAAGTACAATAGCTCTATTCAATTACTATACAACTATCATGAGCTTCTTTTTGAAGCACTCTGAAACTCGAGTTCGCAAGAGAAATTGAACAAAGCTTTGATGTTGTATAATACGTAATGAATTAGGCTTTACATAACTAAGAATTACGACGAATGTGTTCTTCACTATAATCCTGTGCTTCTGTTTCTATTTTCACCTGAAACCATTGATTCAATCTGTTTGAAAGTAAACTGCAGGTTTTTTTAAAACCAAATTCACGACGTACTTTTTCTTGTCTTATATTATCCGTATTTAGAAAAAAAGTGGGTCAATCCTCAATACCATGATGCTAAACACACGAAAATCAAGAGACCTCATGAGCTTGAAAATGAGATGTGCAATCCACCAGTGCCTATTGATAAAGAAGTGATGAATCGTGTTCATGGTTCTATGATTGGCATGGCTTTGGGTGATGCTCTTGGTGCTCCTGTCGAATTCAGACCCCGAAAATATCTACTTAAGAATCCAATAGCTGACCTTCAGAGTGGAGGAACATGGGGCTTACAAAAAGGACAGGTAAGATAGACTTATTTGGGCGAATAAACATTAATTCTGCGAACAGTTCGTTTCGTCTACTCGTCATTACAATTTTGATGCTTGAAGAAAATGCTAGAGAGTCTTCTGTTCGATTGTGATTCGTACAAATTGAGATCAGAAAACATGAATTGTTGATTTTGTTGCAGTTTACCGATGATACTTCGATGGCATTGTGTCTGGCTAGCTCATTGGTGACACGAGGCTGTTTTGTTGCTTACGACCAATTAGTTCGTTACAAGCTTTGGTACAGACATGGATATATGTCGTCGACTGGAGAATGTTTCGACATTGGTAGAGCTACACGACAGGCTCTACATGAATTTGAGCGTCGACAACAAACATTTGCTAAGGAACACGACATTTCTCTTGATGAAATCGATCATATTAATGACTCAAGTTTACTGAAAAACTTCGATACGAATTGTGGCAGTAACCGAGAAGCTGGTAATGGGGCGCTCATGCGCCTCGCGCCTGTACCACTTTTTTTCTACCGAGATCCCGAAAAGGCTGTTCATTATTCGGGTGAAAGTTGCAGAATCACGCACGGAAATGAGAAAGCTTACGACGCATGTCGATACTATGGAGCTCTGATTGCAGCGGCTGTTCGTGGCGAGTCAAAAGAGGCATTAATGAGCCCAGAATTTTATGACAAGCACAGACAATGGTTTGGAAAGGAACCGCTTCACGATGATGTTGAAGTAGTTGCTAAAGGGTCTTATCGCAAGATGGGAGGTTATGATGATGGTATTCGTGGAAAAGGTTACATTGTTGCAGCACTAGAAGCCGCCTTGTGGGCATTTTGGGCCGATGAAAATTCATTTGAAAAAGGTGCTTTACTTGCTGTTAATCTTGGTGATGATACTGACACAACGGCTACCATCTATGGCCAATTGGCAGGCGCATGCTATGGCTACAATGCCCTGCCTAAAAACTGGGTTCATCAAGTTTATGCTAAAAGATTTATCGAATATTTGAGCAAGTGGATTGTCCATGGGGGAGATTCTTTTTCTAAATCGATACCATAACTGACGGCTTCTGAATGAATAAAAATTCCTTGAATCACTGAACATCAAAACCACTAATAGAGCACATAACTTACAAGATAGAACGAAACTCCATGAAATTAATAGAAAAGCTTTTAGCGCAGCCCCTACGGGCCTAAAACGTGGAACTCACATAACTTCTTTAGTCCGATTATATTGACACAAAATCTGTTAAGTGAAAAAACTGTACCAAATTACAGTTGTTTTCCGACATCATCGGCCAGCAGAACAATAATTTATTTTATTTAATCTTGCATCTCGAAGAGTTTTTTTCTTTTTTTTAGAGGCGTTCTATTGTTGTTGGTACTTGCTCATTATTTTTATTTTTCGGATTTTTTTTTTGCGTTTTTTTTCGAATTTAATTTAATTTTCAATTTAATCAATGATTCAATTGGTAAATGTGCCTCTGATACATATACATTTTACCTACAGCAAGCATCAATGAACTATTATGTATCTCGATCAAGTCACGAACACTGACACTGACTGTTTTTTTCCAAATTAACAACTTGATCAATTGATCATTTTCCATAATCGTTGATGTTTTAAGTATAAATTTTTATCTAGGCAACAATTCAAAATTGAACGACCCAGTCAGACAAGCGTTGAAAAAAAGACGTTTTTATGCGAAAAAAAGAGCACATTTTAACGGTTCATGAAATGTAACTTTTGTTCCAGAAATAAAGCAACCTTGTTAATAGCAACCTCGGGAAAATGATTCTTTTCCCAAAAGT